GGAGCCGCAAAACCGACCGAAATTATTTATTAGCCAACCTTATACAATGTAAAATTCCAAGCAAGAAGAGCCGCATTTTGTGCGCAATTTTTAGTTAGTCTGTAAAGAGGTTCAACAAATTGGTTGCAATAGAAAAGAGATTTCTGATGATTATGAGCACTACATCTCCCTAAAGAGAATATAATTTAGCTATATTCACAGTGACTCTATCATACTACATTGTTAGACGCGTGTAGAGGTTTTATGCGCTGTTCAATGTAAATAATCAACGATAAGTGTAGATCTGCCAGATAAAAAATCCTCCATTAATGCCGTGAGACTTCCAGCGCTTTCCTAATGGCTTACCTCCTGGGGATTTTTGCTTAAGCTTTAGTTATTATTTCAGCGAGAGCACCTAATTGCTGTAAATTTTGGTTCATTTTCAATCATACATTGTTTTCGTTTTGCTTATAACGTTGAGTCAACTTCAAATACACTGATCAACAATCCATTTACAGGTTGAAAACAGCGAAATTTTGGAGGAAAATGTCGATTGATCTACATATGGCTTATATCTATACCATCACTAATGGCCATCCCTACAAACCTCTATACAATTGTTCAAGCAAAACACTGGAAGAATGGTATGCGACTGGGTCAGTACAATGGCCATTAGGACTTTACTTTCTCATAACGGGAATAATTTTGGAGGTGAAGCCTTTCCTTTAAAGTTCATTTGGTTCTTAACACAGTCGAAAGTTTAGATGCTTTACCTGCCTTGCCTTGCTTCAATGTGGAAACTAAAACTGCTTAGCAGTTCATGTTACAAAATTATGTTTTTTCTTGGTATTCTGGATATGTCCTCCCTTTTTGTAAACTCTATAATGACTGGCTATCTCGCTATAAGAGGAGCTGTATTTTGCACTAATCCAGTGATGTTGCTAACATTGGGTGCATTCGGATGTGGTGAGTGACTTCAACAACCGCAAAAAGTGAGGATGCTGATTTAAAAGGACGCATGGTTGAATAGGACACATTGATCCGTAGTAATGCTCAATCCGTTCTGAGAGAGCCAATTTAGATTCCGTAAGGTGAAAAGACGATCCCCCACATCTAACACTGTAAGAATGCAGAGTAACTGACAGTTACTCTGCATTCTTACAGGCCTTTCGTCTATTGCCGCTACTGACTCACAAGTTCATGGCACGTAGTAAAGCACGGTCAGGAGGGATAATCTTCCCTGAAGCCCTTATATGAGGCTCCGTCAGGTAAAATGAGGACCGCGCGCTTTTCCTTGCTGTAAGTATGCAACGTCACTAGGTGAGATCCAAATCAAGCCCGGCAGGAAGATCAGCTCCTGATTGAGTCATCGGAGATGAGCCGGGCGATGTCATGACGCATAAAGCATGCTGAAGAAGAGAAGAAAAGAGAGGTCACGGAGAAAAGTTTCGTAAGTTGCTCTTGGGTAACTTACGGGACACCGCAATTGACGTTAAACGGTGCGAAACTCACAGAACTGCACAATTTCGGGAGCCTAAGAAGATCGATGAACAGTTGATTGCGATGAGGAAATGAGAAAAAGGTTATTTTGCGTTTTTCTTGCAGATGGTACTTGTCTTTTACAAAAAAGCTGCATCAGATGGAAAGTAAGCGAACTTATCTTTTCATTCATTTGTCGCAAATTCTAAATTTCTATTATGTCAAAATATTGCGAGTTTCAATCTTGCTGTTTGCGGTTGAAATCTTTGATAACGGTCATCATCGATTTTTCCATAGCGGTGGCTATTCAAAAATCGCACGGCTAAATAGCAAAAATGGAACTACTGCTCTGTCGGATCGAACGCACCACTCTTGTTCATTTGACCAACCTGCACAAGTGCCAAAAATATTTTTTTCTTGAAAACGCGAACGTCCACAAAGCGATCTGCTCCATATCAAGCGCCCCTTTGCAGTACGCTGAGGCGCCGTAATGTCAACTTATGCCCGTTACAGCTGACTAAGATGAGAGAAGCTTAAGACGCAAATAATATGAAATGATGAGACTCAGAAGAAATTACAAATAGCTCCTGAATAATTTCCAACACCCGTCGGTTTAAAACCGAACTTGTCGAAGAAATACTGAGTGAGGAGACACACTGCGGACTAACAATCCTAACAAGATCTAACAAGTGTGGTCACATCTATATAGAAGGGAATGTTTGGCGAACGCGTTTTGACTCATATACTTGCATGAACGTGGCGTTATTAATGATGTCATCTTAGGTGGATGGAATTATCAATCATTGGCAAACAATAAGGCAGAACTGTTTCGTGGAAGACTAAACCGAAGTTTTCCTCCGGGCCATTATTTCATA